TCTTGTTAATCTCTTTCCTACACTCTGTCTCGCAAAAAAGAGACATAATAATGAGATTAATAAATAAAATTTTTTTATTGTCTCATCTGAAGTTCCATATCAAAAATTTCAATTTTATTATTAAAATATTTTTAAACAAGTCTTTTTAAATTTATTTTTGATGATTAACGTTTGTTTCAAATATCCTATAAATGAACAAATTTAAAAAAACAAAAACAGTGAAATAGATTAACAAGGACTTGTCACAACTGTCCGAAATCGATTTCGTTCTCCTTGAAATATGTTATTAAAAATTTAAGAGATAGATATACTTTTATATCGTCTAATTCGAGTTTTAAGGAGTGAAGTAATCCCTCAAAGGTACAAATATTTGATTCCCATTAATGCATATATTTGATTCCCATTAATTATCAATGAAATGGCGAGATATATAAAAAAATGTTTTAGACAAAATTTTTAAAGTTTCTAATGTACTTCATAATTGTGTATTTAGACTCTTCAAAAATTTCATATTTTTCAAAATACGCCTAAGTCCCTTTATTATGTTTGCGAAACTTGAATTTTTTTCTAAGAACAAAAATTAAGGGAAATTTGAAACCAAATTCAACCACCCAAGAAAATTATTTTATGAAATTGCATCTTTCAGAAATAATCTAAAAACGTTACTATATACTACATACGTTTGTGCTTCTGTATAGCATTTGCATGGCAAACTTGCTCTTTGCATTATGTATTATAAATAATAATAACAATAATAATAATTTTTGGTTTTCCTTAATACATGTATAAAAACATTTACTTTTTCAATCATTTTTTACATATTATATTATAATGGTATTTTAAGTTTAAAATTATTTTTATTCGCTCTTATTTTTTTATATCAGGAGACATGGTAGTGTCTCGGGTGTCAAGTCAACCGAGAACACTGCCGTGTGACTTTACGCGAGTCGTCGAGGTTCGAGCATCTGAAATTATCGAATCTCAATAACGGCTATACTGATCAAGTTCTAAGTAGGCTTGATAGCTTGAGTCCGACTTGCATAATAAAAGTATTTTTATTTTTCTGCTACGTGCCCTACAAGCAGAGATATTGCTACACAAAATCCGATTTGGAAATTTTTACTTTAAGAAACGTCATTATCGTCGCCTTTGTACGGCTGCAACGTCTGTCACGAGATGTCATTATTAATCTTATCGACCCAGCGGATTATCAGACTGATAAGTCAGGGTTAATTTATTGTAGAATCTAGCGAATCAATGTTCGTTGGGTCCTGCAATGACCCTGATTTATCGGCCTGATTTATCCGCTGGCTCGATAAAATTGATTGATGTAAACACGGTAGTGTTTTTGTTAGTGGTTAGACCTCTCGGGTATCAATACAATAATAAATACGCGTATATTAAAATTAAAAAGGAAACATTAGCAGTATTAATAAATTGCATACTACTATTATTCTTTTTTTGCACGTCCGAGTGGTGGCCAATAATGTTGACGTTCGCGGCGAGTTTGACAATTTGTAATAATTTCGGAGTGTAACTCATGTTTTTGTCTATATTTTGCAGGTAAGTTCTATTTTTCATTTTATCAGAGAACAAAGATATTATTCTTTTATTCAATCTTATCTACATACTCTTATTATGTCACTCTAGAAAAATCAGTTCCAAATTGAATAAAAATGAAAATTT